ATCATCACAATGACAAAATCCCCAATTATAACCTCACAAAAGGCAACTATGATCTTATAGACAATGATCTCTCATCTCTTGATTGGCAATTTCTATTCACTGGATGCAATACTGTTGAAGACCATTACAACATATTCTTACTAGAAATCAAAAGAGCCATCAAACTATATGTACCAATAACAACTCCCAAAACCAGGAAAAACAAATTACCCATAACAATAAGGAAGCTTCAATCCAAAAAGAGATCACTTTGGCGAAAAAACAAATCTGGTCATGTTGCCAACTTCAAAAGCTGATACAAAAATCTATGCCACCAGATAAAAACTGAATGCACTAATTATCACATCAAACAACAGGAAAACTTTGTTTGCACAAATTCCACTCGTGCTTTCTACATTTTTGTAAACAACAAACTAAAAGACTCAAGGTCCATCATACCCCTGAAAGGACCTAATGGCAAAGACTGCAACGACGACACCATCAAAGCAAACCTCTTTAACACATTCTTTGGCTCAGTATTTGTAAACAGCAATGGATCAAGCCCAGTACTTCCTAGTCGAACCACAGACAACTACAATGATCTAATACATATTGATTTTACAGAGGACAATGTTGAAAAAGCACTACGCAATCTAAAACCATCTCTATCTATTGGACCGGACAGAATATGTGCCTACTTCTTAAAAAAGCTATCCACTGCCATAGCCGAACCTCCAAGCATAATCTTTGAAAAATCTTTCAGGACCAGCTCCTTGCCAAAACTATGGTCACAAGCCATGGTCATCCACATCTTCAAAAAGGGAGACCCCAGCCTAGTTGAAAATTACAGACCAATCTCCTTTAACCAATCCATCATCCTCCACTTAGAAACAAACAACCTACTCTCTAATAAACAATTTGATTTTTCAGAAAAAAACTATCCTGTAATCTGCAACTCTTACACTGCAAAAACATATGGACTACACAACTCGATCAGGGCAAAGCAATAGACGCAATCTACATAGACTTCTGTAAAGCCTTTGATTCAGTGGTACACGACAAACTACTCCTAAAACTAAAATCTTATGGTATCTCTGGACACTTGCATAACTGGATAGAAGCATTCCTGTCAAACAGACAACAAATGGTCAAAATTGGGAGCGTCCTATCAAATTCTGTACCTGTCAATAGTGGTGTCCCCCAAGGCAGTGTTTTAGGGCCAACTCTTCATGCTCTACATAAATGACCTCTGTGATCATATTAAGAGCAACTGCGTTCTCTTCTCTGATGATGTAAAGCTATTCAACACCACAGACAATACTACTACCCTCCAAAAAGACCTTGACTATGTATCAGAATGGTCAATCAAATGGCAACTTCAAATCTCAACAAATAAATGCTCTTCTCTTACATATTGGCAGAAAAAAATCAGAAAATAAAATACAAGCTAAATAGTCAAGATCTTGTTGAGGATCCAAACTTTGTCAAGGACCTTGGAGTACTTATCTCAAATGATCTAAGTGCTAGAGCCCACTGTAACTACATAGCCAAAAAGGCATTAAGAGTTGTTAATCTAATCCTATGTAGATTCTTCTCTGGTAAAATCACACTACTAACTAGAGCATACAAAACATTTGCTAGACCTATACTTGAATACAGCTCATCAGTCTGGAACCCATATCATGCATCTGATATTAACACAATTTTAAAAGTCCAGAAATATTTCACAAGAAGAGTTCTCCACTCTACTCATTGCAGAATACCTTATGCCACCAGACTTGAAACTCTAGACCTAGAAAACCTAGAATTATGCCGCCTCCGGTCCAATCTAAATATAGTATATAAAATCATACATTGCAATGTGCTACTTGCAAATGAATATTTCAGCTTTAATCATAACAATACAAGAGCACACAATAGATACAAACTCAAGGTTAACCGCACCAAACTTGACTGCAGAAAATACAACTTCAGCAATAGAGTAGTCAATGTTTGGAATACTCTACCTGACTCTGTGGTTTCTTCCCCAAACCCCAAAAACTTTAACCTTAGACTGTCTACTACTGAACTCACCCCTTTCCTAAGAGGCCTGTAGGGGGCGTGCATAAGCGCACCAATCGTGCCTACCATCCCTGTCCTATTGTCTTTTATTTTTCTTATAAGTATCTATCTCATGTATTCAAAACTATATTTATTCTTATACCTGTATCTTGTCAGTGATTGACAAATCAAATAAATACTAAAATACTAAATACATTCAAAATGACAATGGCACTGAAAAAGGTGACTTATGAACATTTTTCACACTTACAACCATTGCAACATCACCAGGGTCATGTGATCAAAATTCAGATACTTGGCAACTGATTCATATTTATGACAGCTGCAGTGTCCCGAGGTCAGGTGATCCCCTTTTGCGACTTTCTAACAAGCAAAGTCAATAGGGAAGCCAGGTTCACTTAACAACCACCTTACTAACATAACAACTACAGCGATTCATTTAAGAATGGTGGCAAGAAAGGTCGTAACGTAGGGCAAAACTCACTGTATTCTGTATTACCTGTCTCACTTAGCAGCAGCAGACATTTTGGGCTCAATTGTGGTCGTAAGTTGAGGACTACCTGTATCCTGTTAACTCTGAATGGTCGCCAGACAAATGGTTATAAATTAAGGACTATCTATACTGGGTACATTAAGATCTTTCCTCCTTCATCATGGGCATGCACATGCTTACCCATGTTTCCCTGAAAATAAGACTGGGTCTTATTTTCTTTTGGGTCCCAAAATAAGCAGTAAGGCTTATTTTCAGGGGGTGCCCTATTTTTTTCCATGTAAGGAAGGCCCACTTCTTCTGCTTGCTCACGGCGTGCCACCACTGCCACGGCAAGGCAGGAGGGGATGGAGCTGCCTCACACGCCCTGCAGCAGCTTGCTTCAGGGCCCCCACAGCCAGGCCATCCATGTCCCACACCTGCCTTGTCTCGTAGCCATGGCACCAACACACTGCTCAGCCTCCTGCTGAGCTGCGAGCAAGCAGAAGAAGTGGATTGGTGGCCACATGGGCTCCTGCTGCACATGGCTGCTGGTGCTGCCACCGTGAGGCAGGTGTTGGGGCGTGGATGGCCTGGCTGCAGGGGCCCCGAAGTAAGCTGGGGCAAGGCGCGATGGACAGCTCCACTCCCCCCCATCTCCCCATGGCTGCAGCACCGCAACCAGATGGAATGGGTGGCTGGCCAGCTGTGCAGGCTCTTAAGTAGGGCTTATTTTGAGGGTATGGCTTATATTAAGCACGCACATAAAAACATGCAAGGGCTTATACTTGGGATAGGTCTTCTATTCAGGGAAACAGGGTATGTGCATAATGCAAAAAGAGTACATGATGAACGTACTCTTGTACATGTGTCACTCACTGCGGGAAGATGACTATCTGGATGCAACAAATGAAGCAGAAGACCAGCATGGTACAAGCCACGTAACTACCAAAGCGGGTATCCACCTTTTTGGAATACTATAGGATTAAAAGAGAAGGGGAAAAAATTACCAAGAATTGAGAGGAACAGATGACTTTGTTTCCAATTTGAAATCTCAATTCTAGATAGAGAAGGGAAATACCTTTCTCTCCAACTCAGGTTTCTGGAAAGTGAGCAGAAAACGTTTGACATGATCCTTGCGCAGCTGGTCAATGCTTCGGGCATCAATGGCCCTGCCCAAGAACTCATCAACCTCATCTTCAGGATTTAAGGCTTCCTGTGTACTTCGGCTACGGGAAAGCAAAGTTCACATAGGAGAGAGTAAAGAGAGACATGAGACAATTTATTTTATTTGTATCCCACTGTTATTATTTTTATAAATAACTCAAAGCAGCAAACGTACCTAACACTTCTCTCTCCTCCTATTTTTCCCTACAACAACAATCCTGTGAGGTTAGATGAATTGAGAGAGTGACTGGTCCAAAGTCACTAGCAGATTTTCATGCCTAAGGTGATACTAGAACTCACAGTCTCCTGGTTTCTAGCCTGCTGCCTTAACCCCCCGACTGAATAATGTGAACCGCTCTGGACTTCCTTATTGATAGGACCCAGTTTGTGTGAGTTGGAAGACAAGCCTCCATCTCCCTGAGAACAGGTTCCCCAAAGGGCTGTGTCCTGAGTCCGCTACTGTTCACCTTGATGACCCACGACTGCTGTGCCGAACCTGCTACAAATCATATTGTGAATTATGCGGCTCACAAGGCAGTGGTGGGCCTTATCCGGGACGACAAGATGCATATACGGAAGAGGTGAAGGCTCTGGTGGACTGATGCAGTAAAAGTAACCTGGTTCTAAATGTTAATAAAACAAAGGAGATTATCGTGGATTTTAGAAAGAGCCGGCATGGTCATACTCCACTCTGTATCAAGGATGCAGCTATAGAGGTGGTCAACAATGTTAAGTATCTGGGGTTTCAGATAACTAACAATCTGAACTGGTCTCTGCCTATGACATCCTTAGTGAAGCGTGCAAACCAGTGTCTGCATTTCCTGCACTGGATGAGGACAGCACATCTTTCTCATTCTGTCCTAGCCACTTTTTACAGAGGCACGATTGAGAACGTTTAAAAAAAACTGCATCCCTATTTGGTTTGGTGATAGCAGTGCCTCAGACAGAAAGTCCATACAGAGAGAGGTAAGAACAGCAGAGATGATTATAGGAAGCTCTCTTCCTGTCATTCAGGATATTGCTTATGAGCACTATGTGCTTAGAGCTCAAAGCATTGTTATGTACTTTACGGTCTGTTTCTGTTGATCCCCTTTGGGAGGAGGTTTCGAAGTATTTCTAGCAGGACTTCCAAATTCTGTAACAGCTTTGATCCCTATGCCATCCATCTGGTAAACTCGCAAGATTTGTTTCTCTTGCCGTGTACATATCGTGTTTCTCATAAAATAAGGCCGGGTCTTTTTTTTTTTTTTGAGCCCCCAAAAAACGGCTAGGCCGTCTTTTCGAGGATGTCTTAATTTTCCTCCCACGCGCAGCCTGGTAGTAGTGTGTGTGCGTGTGTATTTACACCCTTATCAGTGAATGGCCGTGTTCCCACGACACCCACACAGCCAACTACTTTCCACCCTGTGCATCATGCCAGCTCAGCTTGTGCGGGTAGTTCTTGGTCCAGTGCATTGGCAAACCTGCAGAGCTCCATTAAGCACCAAATTTGGCATGCCACGTGCACATACTCGAGCTCAGATCAAGCTGCAGCACTCGGAACTGTTACTCAGGAGGCTGCTTTATTAACCTGCCCTGCTGACTGCTGGGTTGCTTAGAGCCCCCGGCTCCGGCAATGTCCGGCTTCCTGCCACTGCACGAGACAAAGGCAAGCGGGCTGCCTTTCTGGCACTCCCACCGCGGCTGGCGCTCCACCAGCTCCTCTTCCCCCAGTGCGAACACCAGCTGACCGGTCTCGCACACCAATTTTGTTCTACCCTCTCTAACCTCCTGGGCTTTTCCCAAGTCTCTCAGTCAGACCTTTCCAAAACAATGTAGTTGCACCATTCAGGTGCGGTGGCCACGACCAACCTGCCCCGACTTCTTCCCTCGACAAGTTCTCTTTGGAAGTCCAGGGGTTGTTTTCCAACCCATGGACTCCAAGCTCGCAACAGGGCATGGGACCACCAAGGGCCCAGGCAGCCCCGTCAAGCTTCAGGTGCTCCCAGAGATGCACAGGATACAGACTCTCTGCTTACAAAGCCGCCACCGAAGTATACACAATGGTGCCTGCAGGCGCTTGGAAGGCCGAAAGCGCAGCCCAAGTGGGGGCTGCTCGCTGTTACCCCGGGGCCCAGCAAAGCTGGAATCTGCTGCCTGCCGCGCGAACCCCAATGAGCAGCCTCACCCATGCTTGGGGGAAAAGGAGCTGGCAGAGTGCAGCTTCTCTTCCCCCGAGCACAGGTGAGTCTGCTCATTGGGGTTTGCATGGCAGGGGGGCGGATTCCGGCTCTGCAGGGTGAAGGGGCAAAAGCGTGCAGCCCTGGCTTGGGCGCCGCTGGGCTGCGCTTTCAGCCTGCAAGGCGTGGCCAGCAGGAGGATGTGCCGCTGCTGTGTAAGGTAAGAGTGGCTGGTGGTAGCGCTAGAAGCCAGGCTGAGCGGGGCAAGTGAGCTTGCAGTCCCCGAGAGGAGCGGGACATGTGGGCTGGGCTGGGTTGCCGCTGCGCCCGCTTATGGCCAGAGCGAAGCGTTGGTCAAAGGTTGGCGCGCCAGCAGCAGGCTGGGCGGCTCACTCTTCTGCGGTCCTGCTGGAGGCATCTCTGCCGAGCCCTGCTCTGGCTGCCTGAGGGGATGTGGATGGAGTCTGTTTTAAAGTTAGCTCCCGCGCCTTTGCCGGGGCTGTGGCAGGGGAGGGGGGAGCCGGTGCCCTTTGCGCAGATGGGAAAGCGGAAGCATCCACCTCTTGGTGCGGCCCCGTCTTTCCTGCACAAGAGCCCCCGGCAGCAAAGGTACTTGGTGGGATTAGGGAGCTCTCCGAGCTCTGCCATGATTGGGCCATTAGGAGTGGCTGGTGGCGAGGCACGGCTGCCTGCGGGGCACTCCTAACGGCAAGTTCCCCCCGCCCTCCCCCCCATTTCGCATGTTTTAAACTAGGCCTAAATTTGGGGGGAGGGGCTTAATTTAGCCTTATGCCTAGAAAACATGCTGGGTTTTCCTATGGGGGGGGGCGTATTGTTGGAGAAACAGGGTATATACATCCAAACTAGACTATGTTATTTCTCTGTGTTATATATATTATATGTGGGTATATGTATACTTTTGTATGTATGTATTTATGTAGTGTATATTAGAGATGGAGACCCTTTGAGAGCTCTATGTAATGAATTTTCATTTTAATGTATGCTTGATTAGTGTACATTCAAAGTGACAATAAAGTTATTCTATTCCTATTCCATTCTACCCTGCAATCAGTACCATCTTTCATATATTGCCACAAGATAGTTAGGGACTCTGGTTTGAATGATTTCCTCCATCCCCACTGTCAAAATCTCAAGGAGGTTATAAAGTCATGGCACTTACTTGTCTTTGCTGGAATCATCAATACCCTAAAAGAGAGAGAGAGAAAGAAAGAGAGAAAGTATCATGTTCAAGAGCACACAGTATATATAACAGTTTTGATACCACCCATTCCCTGTACGGTAAATTTCAAAAAAATCGCAGAAAAACCTGATAATTGCAATGAATACAGGTAGTCCTCATTTAACGATGGTCATTTGAACCAGAATTTCCCCTGCTAAGTGATGTGGTCATAAAATGTGATGTTACATGACCACATCGCTTAGCAATGGCAATCCTAGCAGTTCCCATTGCTGTTAAGCGAGAATTGTGGCTCATTAAGCAAGGACCTCCTCACAATTTCCTACCGCCTTCCCACAATCGACGTCAGTGGGAAAGGCGGTAAGAAGTTGCAAGTCCCAGGTAACTCACAAGCCTGGTGGGGGAAGGGTATGTGGGTGGGCGCAGTAGCATGTGCAAGTGTTTTCAGGCTCAGGGATGGCTGCTGCCATTGGGGCGGACTTACCCGAGCGACTTGGGACCTTCCCTGCTGGCTTTCCCATCGAAAGCCAGCAGGGAAGGTCGCAAACGGTGATCATGTGACTGCAGGTGCTACAATTGTTGTAAACACAAGCCAAGTATCCAGATTGGGATCACATGACTGTTGGTGTGGTGCAGTAGCCAGAACTTCAAGGACCGGTCGTACGTACTACGCGTTCAGCACCATTGCACCTAAGTGGTCGGTAAGTACCTGTATAATTAATTCTACATGTGGTGAAGTTTTGTAATAGTGGGGTTACAGCATTCTTCAAACTCAGACTATAACTCCTATCGTGCTGCTGGCTACGATACCAGAAAACCCAGATATTGTAGTTTTGATATCTTTGGAAAGCAACAATTTTGGGAAGAGTGCAAGTAGAGAATGTTGCCAGCAACATAGTTTTCAATCAACATTTCTCTCTCTCTCTCTCTCTCTCTCTCTCTCTCTCTCTCTCTCTCTCTCTCTCTCTCTCTCCCTCCCTCCCTCCCTCTCTTTTTTTGGGCAGACATTCTCTGGACATCCTTGGGATTATTAGTGGTCCCACACATGTATACAGGTAGTCCTTGTCTTACAACCGTAGGTTTAGGGACCATTTGAAGTTACAATGGCGCTGAAAAAAGTGACTTGCGACTGTTTTTCACACTTACGACCGTTGCAGCATCCCCATGATCAAAATTAAGACGCCTGGCAACTGGCATGTATTTATGAGGGTGGCAGTGCCCCAGGCTCACTTGATCACCTTCTGTGACCTTCTGACATGCAAAGTCAATGGGAAATCCAGGTTCGCTTAACAACTGTGTTACTAATTTTACAACTGCAGTGATTCACTTAACCACCGTGGCAAGAAACGTTGCAAGATGGGGCAAAGCTCACTTGACAACTGTCTTGCTTAGCAGCAGGAATTTTGGCCTCGATTGTGGGTCATAAGTCGAGAACTGCCTGTACCAAATTAGGTATTCTTGGCAGTTTTCACCCAAAATGGATAAGGAAGGGTGGTGGTGGTAGTATTTGCAAGCCTGTTTTTTTTTTAAATTAAAAAGAACATTTAAAGACAGAACCCTCTAAGGTCATCCTTTTTCTCTCTGCTCCAAACCTCTGAAAAGCTGAGAAAAGAAATTTAATAGGCTGGTTGGCTGGGCACTTTATTAGACCAACAGAGGGAACAGAAGCAGAGCCCTTCCCTGGACTCTCCCATTTCAAACACACAGGTAGGTGCAATAAATTTGACTGGCTCAGGCTGGCCTTTGGCCAACAAAATAACATCACCTTACAGCTTGCCTCAGAATAGCTGAGATTTACAGCTAAGAAGCAGGGCCACCTGACGGCTGGTTAATGCTCAACTTAATAAGGGTGGGAAAGAGATTCACAGAGAGTTTGGGAGGCTGAGAGTGAGTTTGCAGAGAACAATAATTACCAATCTCTTCTGCCATTAAAAAAAAAAAGTCTCCTTTTTCGTATTCAGCCTCTGACTTCAGGCATAATTCAAGTATTTCTCATCCTGATAGTCTTTGGAGTTAGTTGACCAAATAATGCCAAAAAGGGGAGGGGGAAGTGGCCCTGACACCTCATATTCTTACTCCAGGTCTTCCTTGACTTACGACCACAATTGTACTCAAAATTTCCATTGCTCAGTGAGATATTTTTTAAGTGAGTTTTGCCCCATTTTATGACCTTTCTTGCCACAATTTTTAAGTGAATCACTGCAGTTGTTAAGTGAGGAACGTGGGTTCCCATTGACTTGGGCAGAAGGTTGCAAAAGGTGATCACACAAACCCGGGGCACTGTAAACGGTCATATATATGAATCAGTTGCCAAGCACCTGAATTTTGATCCCATGACCAAGGGATGCTTCAACAGTCATAAGTGTAAAAAAGTCACATTTTTAAAGTCACAAGTAATTTTTTGGCAGTGCGGTTGCAACTTTGAATGGTCATTAAATGAATCATTGTAAGTAGAGGACTACCTGTACTATATAAATATATAGTCTGTTGCTTGAGCCCAAAAGCCTTCTAGAGTAATCATCAATTGCAATTATTTTATAACTGGTATTCATCATTAACTAATTATTTTTAGCTGAAGAATATAACAGAGATAGATGGTATAACCATATCATATCAATAAGGTGAAAGTAATAACGGCATTTAGAAAACCTGGGCTTATTTAAAACACTCTTTATCTGCCATCTAAGAAGATCAAAGTTGGCATCAGGCAAACCTCTCCAAGATAGATATGAAGGGCCACACAGAGAAAATCCAACCTCAATTCATTATCTACCTTACTTCACATGGAAGAGAAAAATGAAGAACTTGTGTGAACTGGGTCCTAATTATTTCAGAAATTAAAAACACAGTCATACCTAAAAATGGTTGGGAAGCCACTGCCACTGTTTCAAAATGATTGAGAGGCGATCAAACCATCCAGTCCCGATCAACAATCTGTGTATTTTGTAGCAGCTAAAACTTCTGACCTATCTAAAAAAGGCAGTGCTACCTACAATCAATCATTACAGTAATTTAAATGGGATATTATCTGGGCATACAATGTTGCAGCTTGGCTACCTTTGTGAAGAACAGATACCCTTAGCATACCACTGAAGATGGGGAGAGGAAAATGTATATC